TATATTTCTAATACCTAAGAAGGAACCTGGGGTCTACAGAATGATTTTCAATTTAAAGTCCCTTAACCAATCAGTGACTTACCRTAAGTTTAAAATGGACACGCTTGAGTCTGCAATCAAATTAATGAAGCCTGGGTGTTTTATGTCTTCAATCGACCTGCGAAATGCTTATTACTCCATACCAATATCTTCTGCCTATAGAATGTTTCTCAAGTTTGCATGGAGGGGATACCTGTTTCAATTTCGGGCCCTACCAATGGGGTTGACAAGTAGTCCACGTTTTTTTTACGAAGGTCCTCAAACCTGTTTTTTCCACCTTACGAACTCAATATGGACATAATTGCCTGGGATATCCTGATGACTCTTTCTTCACGGACGATACTGAAGATGCCTGTCGTGAGGCTACCATACATGCAGCTCAGCTGTTTACTCGTCTAGGTTCTGTCATTCACCCAACCAAGTCTATATTCAATCCTACACAATCATTAGAGTTTTTGGGTTTCGTGTTAAATTCTGACACCATGACAGTTTGTTTGACCCCAAGGAAGATTGAGAAAATTATCCTTATGTGTCAGAAGTATTTATGTGGACAGGCATATACCATTCGGGAAGTTGCATCATTGATAGGAACTTTGGCATCAACATTTTCTGGGGTGGAGTTTTGGCCCGCTGTATTATAGAAATTTAGAATGGGACAAAGATGTGTCCCTAAAAGCTACCCAAGGGGATTTTGTTGAGAAAATGTCCCTTTCCAGGGAAAGTCTCCAAGAATTAGAATGGTGGGTCAGTTCCCTCCCTGCTGCAAGGAGAAACATTGTGCATGGTATCCCAACCATGATTCTTACGTCTGACGCATCTTCTGTGGGTTGGGGTGCTTGGACTTCCCAAAGTCAAACCCAAGGTCTATGGTCCCAAGTGGAGAGGAAATATCATATCAATGTCCTGGAGATGCTCGCAGTTAAACTGGGGCTCATGTCCCTTTTTGAATCAGTATCCAACCAACACATTAGGATCTTATCTGACAATACTACCACAGTGTCCTATATTAATGCTATGGGAGGTTGTAAGAGTAAGGAATGCACTCAGATTGCTAAGGACATTTGGTTATGGGCCATCAGTTGGCACCTCTGGCTCTCAGCGGCTCATCAGCCGAGGCAGCTGAATGCCATTGCAGACTCACTGTCGCGCCATTTTGAGGATGGGATAGAATGGAAGCTGAATCCTATTCTATTTGACAGAATCTGTGGGTTGTATGGGGTCCCTGAGATTGATCTGTTTGCCAGTCGAATCAACCATCAAACGAATACCTATGTTTCTTGGAAACAAGATCCCTGTGCAACCTATGTTGATGCTTTCACTGTGAATTGGTCCCAGTTCACTAACAGTTATATGTTTCCACCATTCTGTTTAATCAGTAGATGTCTCCAAAAAATATTTTTGGAACAAGCAACAGTGACCATCATAGTACCTCTGTGGACCACRCAAGCTTGGTTTACAAGGCTTCTAAGTCTCCTGATCCATCGGCCCAGAATGTTCCTTGTCACCAGGAAAGTGCTTTGCCATCCAGTTCACGGAGATGTTCATCCGCTGAGCCGCAAACTGCAACTCATGGCATGCAAGGTATCAGGCAACAGTTCATTGAATGCAGCATTTCTGAGGACATTACCAATGTCCTCATGTCCTCATGGGGGCCAAGTACACAGAAGCAATATAATGTTCACATCAGGAGGTGGGGTGAATTTTGTCTACAGAGGAAAGTTGATTCATTGCGCCCAAATATCAATGATGTTTTAGAGTTTCTGCACAGTTTACACATCAAAGAGCTATCCTATTCCACAATTAATACAGCACGTTCGGCTTTGTCGAACTATTTAATGGGATTTGAATTTCCTGGTACTCACTACACAATTACTGATCACCCCTTTGTTGTACGCTATTTGAAGGGAGTGTTTAATTTTGTCAAACCTACTCCTCGTTATCAGGAGACTTGGGATGTCGCCGTTGGAGAAACTTTCATTAAAGGAACTAACATTCAAATTAGTTATTTTGCTAGCACTCACATCTGGACAAAGATGTCAGACATTATCATTTCTCGATATTGAT